AACAGGCCATCCAAAGGAAATGCCTAAAGTTCCAACCACTGTAGATAGGATCACCTGCCAGCACACACTCACCAGGACACCCCTAGACAAATGTCAGCCAATCAGGGGTCCTGAACCTCTAAGACCCCTCACCCTCACCTTTACTACTATAAAAACCCAACTCTAAATGAGCTCAGGGCTCTTTGTTTATTCCAATACGTTGGACATGCAAAGAAACCGAGTTTGCAAACTTGCATAAAATAAAGGCTCTTTGCTTTTACATACGGGACTCGGTCTCCTTGTTGGCTTTTGGGGGACTTTGTGGATTTGGGCAAAGCAGTTGCTGGAGCAGCAAGAAAACCTGGTGGCTTCTGGAAGTTTCTGGTCCTCAGTGTCAAGGAGCTAGAAATGCCATTTACTGTGCGCTGTGATCGCTCACAACGGTTCATCCAAGAGCCACAAAGCCATTACAGAAAGAGCAGCGCAGCCGGTCCTGTGTCACTAATCCCAGTACCAGGCTGCACAGTGAAGAAAATGAGGAGGTGACTCGTGTGTGTGTTTTATTTCTGTTGAAATAAAACCACAAAAACTGGGGGTGGGGAGGGTGGGGAAGCTGGGTGTGCTCTTGCTTGCCTATAACCCCAATGCCACAGGGTAAGGAGAGGTGACAACAGGAGGGTAACCGAGGATTGCTGGTTGTCAGCCTAGCTGCAGGGTCAGTGAGAGAGTGAGAGACCCTGCCTTAAGAGAATAAGCTGGAGAGCACTAAAGCAGGGTACCCAGCATCTTCTTCTGCCTTCCACAAATACACAGACGTGTGTATGCTTGCACACACGTGTGCACACACACCATACATACAAAATCAGTCTTGGCATTTGTTGGCATTTGTAGTGATTTACATACTGGGCAGGCCCCTGTTTATTCTCCCTCCTCTCCTGTATTCAATGCTGTAAACATTTTTCACTTTTGACACTTTGTGGACATATGGTAACATGCCATTTTAATGCTACATTGTCCTCAAAATGGTGTCACATTTTAATCACAAGATCACCAATGAAGATGAATAATTTTTACATTTCCTGATTATTAATCTATTAACTCGCTGCAAAATGAAAATTTCCGTATAACTTTTTTTAAGTTAAAAAAAAGCCAACTCTTGTGTTGGTGAGGGTTCTCTAAAGGAACAGAACCAGCTATCCATGGGACTTATTAGATAATGTATATGTATACAGGATTTATTAGATGGATTTACAGGCTGCGGTCCAGGTAGTCCAACAAGGGGTGTTTCGCAAATAAAGCTTGGTAGTTGTTCAGTGTCCAAGGCCGGATGTCTCAGCAGGCCACCCCCCCCCCCCCCAGGGTGCTGGAGTCTCAGAAGGTCCCTAGAGAGCCGCTAGTCTTCAGTCTATGCTGAATCCCAAAGAAGTGAGTTCTAATACAGGCAAAGGGAGGTAGTTCCAATATAAGCAACAGGATAGATAGACTTGCCAATGGCAGAAAGGGCGAGCAGGCAGAAAGCAAATGATTCCTTCTCCAATGTTGTCGTGTCTGTGGGCATGTATGTGGACTGCCATCAGAAGGTATAGCCCAGGTTTAGGGTGGGTCTCACCATCTCAGATAATCTGAGTAGGTAATACCTTCCCAGGCATGCCGAGCACTTTAGATTGTAGTTGATTCTAGATGTCATTAAGATGACAGCTAAGTCATTGCAACAACTCCCTAAGCATCTTCTAAGATTGCTTGAACTGTCAACTGGTTTTAGATTCTATCAGTCCCATGTGACTTACATAAATCCTCCTTTTTTTTTTCTTCAAATTACCAATATGTTGGTAGGGAAGGAATATGATTTGAATTCTCCCCTTCAATTTTAATTTTATTATTTAACAAATAAGGTCAGATTGGTGACGGAAACTTCGGTTATGGGAGTAGTGTGCTATGCAAATAGTGTGAGGCACGTGATTGTAAAAGAATATGGCTAGAGCTACATTAGTGCCAAGGTCTTAGCTCACTTTGTTTTCAACTTCAGAAGAGAGCAAATCTCCATTCGTCTTTAATCCCAGCACTCGGGAGGCATGCAGATCTCTGTGAGTGCTAGGCCAGCCTGGTCTATAAGAGCTAGTTCCAGGACAGGCTCCAAAGCTACAGAAACCCTGTCTCAAAAAGCAAAAAAACCAAACCAAACCAAAACAAAACTGTTCTAATGGACTGAGCAAAAGGAGAAGTTGTTTTATAATCAAAGAAAGATTGAAAAATAAAGCAACGACGAACAAGTGGCTTGGTCATTTCAGAGTGCCTTTCTCGTGAGGCAGAGTGATAGACAATCCAGAAATACTGGGTGAGGTCAGTGTGGGGCTACTGCAGGTCGCCTTTTCTAAATGTTAAAACAAAGAATGGTTTGAGGAATTTGCTCCCTACCTCTTCTGATTTCTCAGACCGTTGATAACATTAACTTAGTCAATGTGGTTTGGTGATATGGGACTTTGCTGTGAATAAGAACTTTTTTATTTTTGGCCTGATCTCTTGCTGAGTGCAGGAGGTCGGACCAAAACAATGCCTTTATGTAACTTACATTTAACAAACATAGTATATGTTTAACTTTTTTTATTTTTTAATGGAGGGTCTATGCTACAACCTGTCACTGCTCTGTCCCTGTTAACTCAGGCTCCAATGTGAATATTGGGTCTCTGAATCTTCATAGTCTGTGAATCTTTAGAAACTGTGATTGAGAGAAACTGGAGGAAAACAGAATGCACATACTTATTAAATGTTTCTTTCCTTTGTCTTTTTCAATTACACAGATTTCCGTGTGTGTGTGTGTGTGTGTGTGTGTGTGTGTGTGTGTGATATCCTTATTGCAAACTGCCTTCAAATATTTCTGCAGAGTCACAGAACAAACAAAACACAATACACAAGAAAGGAAGGCAGAATAATTCTGGTTCTCCAGCAAGAACAGCCCAGCAGGGGACAGATACTCAGGTACAGGGAACTTAAGAGCTCCTTTTGGTGCAGAAGTAATCTGAGCTGAAGAGCCAAAGCTACTTGAGGGTGTGTGTGTGTGTGTGTGTGTGTGTGTGTGTGTGTGTGTGTCCTGGGAGCCTGAGACTCCTGACAATGAAGATTTAAATAACAAATGCAGACACTGAGACGACAAACAGGTACAGGAGCAGGGAGAGGCAGGACTAAACTAGAGGAGAGCATACAGGAAATACTGACAGGAGAAGCAATGGTGCAAGTGATGCTGGGAGTGGGCCAGATCCTCACGTGACCTGGAGACATCACTGGGAGAGGCGGAGACCAGCTAGAGAAGGGTCATGGGAACCTTGTCATTTACTGATAAAGAAGAACTGGAAGGTGGGACCAGACTTTGTCCACAGATACTTAGGGAATTTTGGAGCAGGAAGGTGGGAAGGGGGCGGCAGTCAGATAAAACCAGTGTGTTTTCACTGTTGACTCAGTGATAGTTCACTGTCTAGGATCTAAGAGACCCAAGGTCTGTGAGATGGAGTCTGGGGTAGCCATGTGCAGAAGGAGAAATTCGGTTGTTACTCCTTTCAGATTGGGAGTATTCTTTTTCTTATGACTCTCCTAAGCAGATAACATAGATATGACCTATACTGGAGCCACTAAAATTTAGTGTTTTGAGGGTGGTTTCCTGTTTATTAAAGTATCATTGTGTGTGTTATTATGGGTGACCAAGAGCCTAATTTAACAGCTAAGGAAACAGACTGTATTTTAAAAGGTAATTAATGTTATAATGTTGGTCAAATTGCAAAGCTAGAAAAGTGAAGAAATACTTTTTGTTTAAAAAACAAACAAGCAACCCCCCCCCCCAACCCAAAACAGGAACAGAATAGTTAAGAAGCTGAGGTATAGTTTAGCAGTAGACTACTTAGCTAGCCGGGTTTAATTTCAAGAGCTGCAAAAATAAAACAAAAGATTTAAAACCATCAAATTGAGAAGAAAGCATTTCTACAGTTATATACTAACTTAATTGGAAAATACTGATGGAGGAAGGTCATTGGTTAAATAAAAAGAAACTGCTTGGCTCTCATTGGTTAGAGATAGGTGGGAGGAGTAAACAGAACAGAACGCTGGGAGGAAGAGGAAGTGAGCTCAGACTCCACAGTTCTCCTCTCAGGAGCAGACACCTCAGAGAGACACCATGCTCCTGCTCTCCCGGGCAGATGCACGCGATGAAGCAAGCCGCCAGGTTAGACATGCTGAATCTTTCCTGGTAAGACTGGTGCTCACAGATTATTAGAGATGGGTTGATCGGGATGTGAGAATTAGCCTATAAGGGCTACAGATAAAGGGCCAAGCAGTGTTTAAATGAATACAGTTTGTGTGTTGTTATTTCGGGGCATAAGCTAGCCATGTGGGCAGCCGGGGTGCTGGGGACGCAGCCCCACCGCCCATATTACTACAAAATACAGTTCATTTTTTCCTTTTTTCTTCCTTCCTTTTTTTTTTTTTCTTTTTTGGGATAGGATCTCACTAGCCTTGGTTAGCCTGCAACTTACTATGTAGATCAGGGTGGCCTCTCAAACTCATATAGATCCACCTGTTTCTGCCTCAGAAGAACAGAGATTAATGGCATGTGCCACCATGCCTGGCTGGTTTAATTTTCAACTGTTCAAAGCCAGAAAATCTGAAGCATATAATTTTTTATTGGAGACAAAATTCCTTTGAAGTTTCCTCTGATGATTCTGAAGATAATTAAAAAAACCACCATCATCACTCCATGCTCCCCCTGGCCTATTAGAAACCCAAAGGACTATAAGGGCAATGTTGTCAAGTGCTCCTTGCATGTGAGGTACTGTGGCAGGCACCTGGCCTGTCTTATCTCATCTGCTTCCTTCAAAGACCCTGGAAGGAAGTATGATTGCCAATTACATGTTACAAAACGAGCAAAGCAGACCTAGGAAAAGTTTATGACCTTATTCAAATATGTATGGTTGAGATGTAAGAACTGGGCTTCATGAGACACCAGGCCTGAAACCTTTCTCTTTTCTCGTTTCCAGGGAAGGTCCTGGATGCTCTTCAAGTGGCACACTGTTCTTGAGTGTCTTTATGTCCTGGTAAATGACAACCCCAAACAGCTGGCCAGCAACCAGTCCTCAGGGAGAGATGATGTTACATTCAACCTGTTGGTTGTTTTTTCTTTCTTTCTCTTTGCCAACATAAGGTAGTGCCAAAGAAAGAACCTCGCTCATGGAAGAGATGCCAACAAAGCTACCATAGGAAGATAACCCCAATAAAGATGATATTCTCTGTATGGGACTCAGTTTGAACAATCTGTCCTGTCCCTTTAAGAGACAAGCCACGCCCACTCCCTCCTCTGTCTGCTGAGGCAAGCTGATCTTCAGCTTCCAGCATGAGTCTTTTCCTTTTCTGTTTCTTTCTTGAAGAGGTAGCTTTTGTCTCTCCTTTCTCCCCACTTCTCCTCTCCCCACCTCTCTCTCTCTCTCTCTCTCTCTCTCTCTCCTTCTTTCTCTGCTCTGCTCTTCCCCCTTCTCTCCTTCCCTTCTATAACCCACTAAATAAATATCCAACTTCACTCTGCATGGCTACCTATCTGTCTCGGTCTCTTACCCACCACACAGCTTCCCACCTGGGACCCTGCTGCCTACCTGGCCTGCCATGGTCTCTGGACCTCTGCCCGCTGCAGCCACTAGGGGACCTGCAACGTTTCTGCCACTGTGCCCCTCAGGGAACTGCAGCATTTTACTTAAGCCATTACAATAGCATCTGAAATATTTCAAACAAGGAGCTGTGTGGAGGATCCTGAGTCACAGGATCACCCCCAAAGAGATTTCGCATTCCCAGGAGAGAGGTGAATCAGTGGAGGGAAGGCTGTGAAGCAAGGCTGGCCGGAAGTTACCCCTCCCAACTTAATCCCAGCCTAGAGAGAGAAGCCAGCTGGTCCTCGGACAGAGTCCGGGAAGGAAAATTCTACGAAGCTGTGTGGAAGCCCAAACCTGCAAGAGGCTGTAGAAAAACAATCGTGCAGAATCAAGAGCCTGAACCTATTGGAGGATGCCTTATGTTGTCCTTTTTTTAAAAATGCTGCAAGATACCCGGTGGCAGTAGGCAGCAGAAATGCTGTAGGTCCCAAAATGGTGGTAGCGGACCATGTGGCGGCAGACAGCGGGCTCTGGGAGCAGCCAGTCCCAGGCAGAAATGGCTGCCGGTCCCAGAGCGGTGGCCTGAACGGTGGGCCATGTGGAGGCAGATAGTAGGCCCTGGGAGCAGCCAATCCCAGGCAGAGACAGCTTCTCAGAGCAGTGGTGGTGGGCCATGTGGCAGCAGGCAGTGGGCCCTAGGCAGAGACGGCTGCACCAAAATGTTGTTCTTTTTTTTAAAAAAAAATGCTGCAAGATACCCGGTGGCAGAAGGCAGCAGAAATGCTGTAGGTCCCAAATGGTGGCGGCGGGCCATGTGGTGGCAGGCAGCAGGCTCTGGGAGCAGCCAGTCCCAGGCAGAGACAGCTGCTGGTCTCAGAGCAGTGGTGGCGGGCCATGTGGCAGCAGGCAGTGGGCCCTAGGCAGAGACAGCTGCTGGTCTCAGAGCAGTGACTGGTCCCAGGCAGGGAGACACATGGCGGGTGGGCAGAAGACAGAAACATGGATAGACACGACATGCAGGGTGAGGTTGAATGTTTATTCAGGGGGTTATGGAGGAGGAAGGGTGAAGGGGGGGACAGAGAGAGAGGGAGAGAGAGAGAGAGAGAGAGAGAGAGAGAGAGGGAGGGAGAGGGAGAGGGGGAGAGAGGGAGAGAGAGAGAGAGAGAGAGGGAGGGAGAGGGAGAGGGGGAGAGAGGGAGAGAGAGAGAGAGAGAGAGAGACAGGAGGAGGGAGAGGGAGAGGGAGAGAGGGAGAGAGGGAGAGAGGGAGAGAGGGAGAGGGAGAGAGAGAGAGAGAGAGAGAGAGAGAGAGAAAGAAAGAAAGAAGAGGAGAAAGAGACAGAGAAGGGGGAAGCAGAGAAGTGGGGAGAGAGGCAGAAACGAAGCTGCCTCTCTGAGAGGAAGATGGAAAAGAGAGTGAGCTCAGGCCGGAAGCTGAAGATCAGCCTGCCTCAGCGGATGGGGAGGGGAATGGGTGTGGCTTGTCTCTTAAAGGGACCAAAACCATAACACCATAAGTAACCCAGTTGCTCTGGCCTCAAACTCCTCCTTTGAAAGAAGAGCAGGGTACAAGTAGGAGCCTGCTTTGGGAGATTATTTGAGAAGATTGCAAGATTGTTCTGTAAGGTGTTTAGCAAAGTGAAAGCCACGCTCCCGTAATGATAAACGTGTGTAATACTCGAGTGGGAGACAATTCGTGTAGTACAAGCTGTTGACTGTGGGGGTGGGGGAGGGCATCTCTCCGTTACAGGAGAGGTATTAGTGAGCACGTCTTCAAGAAGGTGAGCACACAGTCGACTGAGTTATGTATTATTGTGGCTGTTTGTTTTTTTTTAAGATTTATTTATTTATTATGTATACAACATTCTGCCTCTGCCCAAATGCCAGAGGAGGGCACCAGATGTCAGTACAGATGGTTGTGAGCCACCATGTGGTTGCTGGGAATTGAACTCAGGACCTCTGGAAGAGCAGCCAGTGCTCTTAACCTCTGAGCCATCTCTCCAGCCCTTGTGGCTGTTTTTTAAGCACACCCGAGGACTAAGAGTTAATCTGTCCAAGGACAGGTGGGGACATCTTAACTCAGGCCTTTCTGGGTTGCAAGAGATTTCACCACTTGCTGTGGTTGTTTGCAGTTTCTGATCCCAAACTGGGTCCGTTTTCTTTTAAAGTTGTAGGCTGGATAACAAGACTCATGAGCAGCACGGAAAACTTTTGTTCTTGGCCCAAAATAGGAGCCAAGGGAGATAAGCTTGCCTAGCAACTTCCCCAATCTGTTTGGGGCTGGGCAGTTTCAGATTTCAGATAACAGGGCTGAGGCAAGGACCGGGCTAATGAGGGCAGAAGAATACTGTGTCCCTCCAGTGAAAAGACAAAGAATTCCAGGTATTCTGACTGTGGCCTGTGTTTGTTTTGCTGTTTGCTCACTTCATAGCTCTTCCCAGCTATCTTCCTGGCCCTGGGACCAGAAGGATATTTAGCCTGTAAATGACGTTGTAGTGTTGTCTGTTGTTATGCTGGCAGCCGTCTTAGGTCTAACTGGCTTTGGTAAGTGGTCAGGCATCTTGTGATGAGGAGTAGGCCTAGGCAGACCTTCAACTAGGATGTTGGGCAGTCAGAAACTGGGGCAGGGTAGCATAGAGTTCTAGGTCCTTGTTTTCCAGACTAACAGACTTAAGGTGATATATAGATATATGTATGTACACACACACACACACACATACATATTGTTTTTTCGAGACAGGATTTCTCTGTAGCTTTGGAACCTGTCCTGGAACTAGCTCTTGTAGACCAGGTTGGCCTCGAACTCACAGAAATCTGCCTGCCTCTGCCTCCCAAGTACTGGGATTAAAGGCGTGTGCCACCACCATCCGGCTGGTGGTATATATTTTCATGACAGATCACAGCATGGCGTCACTCTGTTAATGCAGCTTCCCTGGTATAAGACAAAAGGAAGCTACTTCGTATGAGAGCAGAAACTTCAAATGCTTTATAGATGCTAGGCAGAAATATAGATGGTTGGATGGATGGAAGGATGGATGGATGGATGGAAGGATGGATGGATGGAAGGATGGATGGACAGATAGATGGATGGACAGAGAGATGGATGGACAGATAGATGGATGGACAGATAGATGGATGGACAGATGGAGGATGGATGGATAAGACTGATGATAGGTAGTTAGGTAGGTAGGTAGATGCAGGGAGAGCTGGGTGATAACTAGGAGAGAAACCCTAGTGAAAGTGATGGACAATAGGGGTGGCAGGTGTGTGAATAAGCACACCTGCCCATTCAGCCCAGCCCACTAAGCCATATTTGGAAGTGGGCCAAACCTTGTGATGTACCTAGAGAAGATAAGTGTGACAAAAAAGTTGCATTTTGAGTTTTACTAACTATGCTTAAGAGATCCATGAAACAAAAATGTCTTTGATCTGTAAGCCCCTGGCCCAATGACAGATAGTTCCTGAAATGCCAGAGAGTATCATTTATGGGAGATAACAAGTCATACATTTTCATTCCCTAAGCAAGTTTGTTTGACCCATATGAGCTGGATGTACTTGATCACATGTGGGCGGGAGGTTCACAGGCTGGAGGTCCGTCAGGATGTATGCTTGGCCCTGATTGGACCTGATGGGAAATGCAATGAATTATGGGTTTTCCTTCTAAGCCCTAAGAGAAAGAAGAACATATTTTTTCCTTGGGCCCTTTATTCGCATATCATTGTTAAAACTGTGGTGTATTTTTATTTAATTTATTTATTTTTATGTGGCTGAGTGTTTTGCCTGCATGTATGTATGTGTGCTGTGTATACAGAGCCCCGTCATGTCAGAAGAGGACATCATATCCTCTGGAACAGGATTTGCACAAGGTTGCCAGCCATGTGGGTGCTGGGAGCTTAACTCAGGTACTCTGGAAGAGTCGCAAGTGCTTTTAACCACAGAGCCATCTCTCTGTCTCCTCCACTTATTTTTAAAAAGTCTCTGTCCACTGTTTATTTTTAAAAACTATTTGTCCATCTATGGGTACTATGTATTTATTTGTTTATTTATTTTTAGGTAGGATTTCTCTGGGTAGCTCTGGCTCTCTTGGAACTCTCTTTATAGAAAAGGCTAGCCTTGAACTCAGAGATCTGCCTGCCTCTGCCTCCTGAGTGCTGAGATGAAGGCGTGGCACTATGACCAACTTTAAAAAAATCTATATTGATTTGTGTGTGCATCTCTATGTCTTTCTGTATATGCCCACATGTCACGTGTGTGGGTGCCCAAGGGGGACAGAAAATGGCATCTGATCTCTTGGAACTGAAGCCACAGCCAGTTGTGAGCCACCTCATGTAGATACTGGGAATGAACTGGTCTCCTGGAAGACCAGCAAGTACTCCTAAGTACAGAGCCGTTTTTCTAGGCCCCATGACAAAGTTTTATGTGCTTTCTTTCCATTTCATTTTTTTTCTCTCTCTCTGTCTCTGTCTCTCTGTCTCTGTCTCTCTCTCCCTCCCTCCAGACACAGGGTTACTGTGTAGGTTATAAGACTTTAAGACAATCCTGAAGCCATTTTTGACAATTCTGAATCCTCTCAGCCCCTGTGCCATAGTGCTTCCCCTCCTCCCCTGGGAACCAAGGACCTAACAGCTACACTCGCATGTACTCAGTTCCTGAACAATTACCCATATACGTATGATTTGGTTCGGTCCCTTGGGAAACGGGGTCAAAATGACCTCTTACCTCATCTGATCTGGCAACAGCTCTCCAGTCAA